ATCCATTATTATTATTATACCTACCAAACCTAGTTACAACCCTTTAAAGTACATGTAGTTTAGGTGAAGAAGTTAAAAATACATAAATTTACCCTGTCAAGGTACCCCTGTCCCACCTCTATAGGATTGAGCAACTTCATGTGAACTAGCTTCAAGCAAATTTTTATCAACATCCATCAAGCAGTTTCAAAAATCCAGTCAAAAATGTTTAAATTTGTTTCTCTGTGGGGGTGCCCTGTCCCGTTCAGCTCAATTTAATCAACTTTACATTGATCATATAATATACCATTCAGACGCTTATTTTTAAACCAGTTCAAAATTGCTGGGGTTTTTAAGACAGGATCGTGTTGCATTTACACATACTATAAGCCAAACCAGTTTAACGATTCTGACCTCTTCGTTTGGAGGTAAGAATTAACTACGCATGGGTAGCTTCATATTCTTTATTCGGTTCTCGATAACACTGGCACTGCATTAGGCCACCATTTTCCCAGGAATGTAACTTACTGCATACTGCGCATGCCCAAAGCGAGCTGGAGTTTTTAAGCCAACCAATTTAAAACATAAAGCCTTCCCGAAAACAGGTCGCAAGCTAGGGTTTTTAAACTGGTTTATTTTCCCCACTGTTGCCTTCAGAGTTAACTAGTTTAACGATCCCAAGGGTTTTTAAACCAGTTCAACTTAGCGACTTAAGCATCTAAACGGGCTAGAAGGTCGATTTTTACCAAATTTCATAGAAATCCATTCAACTATTTTGTAGACGTTTTATGAAAAACTAATTTTGCCCCTTAAAGGTGTCCCAACCAAGGTCCTATGCAGACAAGAAACTTAATTTAAACAAATCTGAATAAACACTACCCTGGCAAAATATCTACAAAATATCGTTGAAATCCATTAAGCAGTTTTAAAAGTAGAAAAATTTGTAAATGACTATTGTTATAATGTATAGAAGCAACTATACAACACTTTTCAGTACATGGTCCGATGGACTAAAAAGGAGAGTGAGTGAGAGAGAGAGAGAGAGAGAGAGAGAGAGAAATGGGGTTTAACGTCCACTCGACACAAACTAGGTCATTTTGGGACTAGCATATGATTCAATTTTATTTCAATAATTCGCTTGCGCGTAGCGGTCTTTTAGCACAAAGTTGGACAGGCGACCCTACTCCTTGTCACATACAACCAGGGAATCAAAACCACGCCAGTTGACTCAATGACAGACTAAAAAGGAGTAGATATGTTAAAGTTAGCAAAAGTCTTCTACGGTAAGATTCTTAAAATCTAAATTTTTAAATAAATTTATATTTGTCTAGTCTAAACATTATAATATATGTATTAACAGATTATAATATTTATTAATAAAATTAAAGAAATGTTTAAACTAAATTCAGGGAATAACATAGCATTACTACAGGCAATAAATATACACCCATCAGCACCTTTTCAAAGATGACTTTTGGGTTTTGGGGACCAGGGGCAATAACTATGCATAAAAATCTTACAGGTTTGAAAAGAATTCTCAATAACTGTGACCCATAGATCGTATTAGGAAATCTAATTCTGCTTAAAGTTGCTGGGCATGCCGAACAATCGCAGCAAGTTTTAAAATAAAAACCCTGACCTTTGTTTGGGGTTTTTTGGAGTTTTTTTTTTCAGAGAATCCTCTCATGTAGTCCATTTACCGGTACATGATTGCAGTGACAAGGGCAGTAATCAAATAGTCCCAGCAAATAGTAAAATGTTTACAATAATAGTGGATGGACGGACAGACAAACAGGGGAGACGACAAATGTGATGGATATGTGGGTGTAAACAAATAAACACAATATTGTTATTCACTATAACACAAATTAACTCACATTCAAACACAAAACAAGAACAAGCAAAAGGAAGCAATTAGTCATGAAAGTCGTTAAGTTAGTTAAAGGCTCACAATTGTGAAATGAAATGAATTAGGGTTTAACTTCCTACTGTTCTGCTCCGACTGGGCTAATGAAGACAGGCATACGTCACACAGTGTGCTATGAGGCACAAATGCGATTTTTTTATTCAATACAATCTTTTCAGTTTTACTCACCTCATCTTGGTTATACAGTGTGCTATGAGGGTAATTTTACCTGAACAGCAATGTTTCTGACTATTCTTAGCCGTATTACAACTGTCAAGGGTTCTTTTACATGCCCAGCATGTACATGAGACCTCAGTTTATTGTACCTTCCTAACGACTAGACATTGTTCATTGTCAGGTCCTCTGTCCTGCATCACTGACAAGGAGGAACCAAGCTAGAAATTACTGAGGAACTTTCTCGAACAACACTGGGGACATACTGGTTAGTGAGCCAGCACCTTATACAGTGAGTCAAGGTGGTCAAGTGGGTAAGACGCTGGCTCGCTAGCCTGGAGGTCGGATGTTCGATCCTTGCATTGGCCGAGAAGTTCATCAGGATTTTCTGACATGGTTTCCCCTTGTTAGTGGTGCAGGATGGAAGGCCTGACCAGGACAGCTGTCTAATCGTTTGGATGGGACAAAACACAGAGGTCCCATGTATATATTGGCGTGCACATAAAAGATCTCTTTGCAGTTGGAATTCGATATAAGAGTAGGCCCGCTGCCAGGGCAAAATTTCCCTCACAGGACACTGTATGGCGTATGCCTGTCTTCATTAGCCCAATTAGAGCAGAACAGTAGGACGTTAAACCCCCATTTCATTTCATTTCATTGCTCACTGTGGCTACAAGTAGGTATTGAGGTGCTGACAGAATTTAATAGACCCAAATATCCCATTTCGGCAGCCTTATATTCAATTAAGCCATTTATCAGAAATGAAATGGAGTTGCAAGTCCTACTCTCCTGCACCAAATGTGCTAATGTAGACAGACAAATACCATGCCATGTGATGTAGTGTGCTATGAGGAAAATTTGGTCTAGACATGTTTTTTTTTTTATAATCATGCCAACATGTACACCAGACCTCAGGATGGACTTATAAGACATCAATTTAAATCAGTTTTAGCCATTATTAAAATATTTTCTTTTTTTATTAACTAGATCAAACTCAATGTGGGCCTTTAACTTTAATTATGAATTAGTCGTGAAAGTTAACATTAATGATTAATAAATATATAATGTAAATAAAGCATGCCTAAACATAAAAATCATGAACACACTAAATTTACAGAATTCTCATACAATAAACATTAAATATTTTGTTATGAAAGTAATAGTTTCACCTTGACGTTGTTGACCTTTTGACCTGAAATATGCATTTTCTAAATATCTAATTAAATGGATGCCACTTCTCTTTCTTTGTTAATATCGGTCCATGAATAAAGCTGTTGATCAATTTCTCTGTGGAGAAGAACCACCTTCCTGATCTTGTGGGTTTTCTCCGGGGTTTTCAACTTCCTCATACTACAAGCGTCGAAATGACCCAGTTTGTGTTGAGTGGACTTTAAACCCCAGTTCTCTTCAATTTCGTAACTATTAGTATTGGTATAAAACTAGCTACACCTTGAAGAACACACATGTTGGGCATCAGATGTTCTATATATAACCATCTCCAACCCAAAAACAGTTTTCATTTGCAATCAGAGCTCTTCATGACATATGTTTCAATATTTTCCGATATGTTCAGACAAATGTTCAACAATTGTTTAGAATGAATGGATGCTCTTTCCTCTTTTTTCTACTCACTTACCCACAATGTACCTAACCTGTCAACTTAACTCTCTGTTCATGGTTAGCATTTTCTGGTAAATGTCAAATTTTCCACGGCTTAAACTATGTTAAAATCTACTTAAAATTGATTATTAATCATTCTAATTTAATTAAGAAATAAAAACAAACATCAATGGTAGATAATCTCCCGACATCGATTCAGTCGGATTAAAAAAAGAGGGACATCAAAAGTTTTTCTTGAAGATTGTAGGTGGCACTGGCTTTTGACCAGGGCCCTTATTCACGAAAACTTAAACTAAGATACAATCGAAATTTTAAGAAATACTGCAATTCGATTGGCTGACCACTAAAATCAATTTGCATGTATCCAATTTGCATATGGGTCAGCCAATCAAATTGCAGTATTTCTTAAAATTTTGATTGTATCTTACTTTAAGTTTTCGTGAATAAGGGCCCCGATCCTGTTTTTTTGGACTGCAGAAGATACAGAATGTTGACAATTTATTTTCAGTTCACAATTTCTTTGTAAACACTGAAAGAGAGAAAGAGAGAGACAGAGAGACAGAGAGAGAGAGAGAGAGAGAGGGGGTTTAACATCCACTTGACACAAACTAGGTCATTTTGGGACTAACATATGGTTCAATTTTCTTTTAATAAATCACTCGTGCGTAGGGGTCTTTCGCAGTGGGAGGAAACCAGACGATCCGGAGAAAACCCATGAGGTTGGACATGCGACCCTACTCCTAGTCACATACATGCCATGACAGACTTCATGATTCAGCACAAACGCTAACCATTCGGCCATCCAACCCCCCTAAATACTGATAGAAATTGAACCATTTTTGGATGGACATTCATTTAAAGATTCACCATTCACAATATTTAGTTGGCTAGGGATTCTTCAATCTACTGTTGATATGTTTGGGGTCAGATCTAAATATTAAGGCCAACTGTAGATTTCGTCAAGGTCACGAGATGTAAACAGTTTAGGGCACATGATTGTTGAAGTGGATTGTGGGTTACAGTTAGGGTAACGGTTAGGTCAAGAGTTAGAGTTAGCGCTAGCCCTGTTTACATCAAGTGACCTTGATGAAATTTGCAGGTGGCCTTGATATTTAGATCTAACCATATTTCCGTTTTGTTTTTTTCTTAATTAAATCTTGTATAATCAATTTGAGTGCTGTTGAGTTGAATAAGCTGTGAAAAATTAGATATTGTCTGAAAAAGATTTTTATATTATATGCTAGCAAGCCGAGACAAATTTCAATCAAACAGAATTGAAAAATGGACCAAATTGAAAACAGAAATGATGACAAACAAAATGTTGAGTTTCATATAATTTATTTAATTTATATGAACATTACACAGAAACTACCACAATGAATTTCTGTGATGTATTATTTGGTTTTAGACGTTTTGTTTTCTTTACACAAGCGATACACATTATGTATTACATAATATTACTCTATATATATATACTATATTTGTCTCCCCGTTCAATTTTCACAAAACATCATTTATAATGTGAATTTCTTAATAGAAATAAACAAGATTTGGTTTGTTTATTTTATAAATTATGTTAAAAAATCAGAACTATGATTTTCAAATGTTTATTAAAGACATGACACTGAGCTCAGATATAATGCAGCTAACTTAAGGAACATCATTTATTAAAATTAAGGTCTTAAACTTAATTCAATAACCTCAGGGGCCTTATTCATGAAATTTTAAACTAAAATATTTTCAGAAAGCAGGATTATGGCTGAGAGTTCAAATCTGTGTTATGATTTTACTGCTCAGACAATGAACAGCCTTAAATATTTAATTCTTAGGATTTCATGAACATAGCCCCCATGACGAAAGTTAAAATTTGAGCTTTGGTCATACTTTAATGTGTACAAATTATAAACTACATTTTCTTCAAAATATAAACATTATTATCAATATCATGCAGATCTTTTTTAAAAATGAAATCTAAAATAATTTTCATGAGATAAAGTGATATTTTTGAGACTAAGACGGTTAAAGGATGAATACTACGATAATGAATTATGCACAATGCTCCAATAATTGGTTGACACTTTTTTTAAAAACTTGCCACTGCCTGGTTAAAATCAGCCAAGTAGACAAATTAATGCAACATATTTTTACACTAGTTGTCTAGTGTTCACAGTAGGCATACTACAACATTTATTCATTTTACACTATTAAGTTATCCACCTAAAACAACGAAATGAGCATTTTAAACATTTAAGCTTAGTTGGTCAGATGAGATGAAATATAGATATTCCGTATATACCATTAGCAGTACATTAAAGATCCACTGACAGTTGGAAATTGAAATAAAGATAGACCGTAGCGTCACTGTTCAAGCAAAATGTCCCTCACAGCATGACCGTCTTGATTAGCCCAGTCTGCGAAGAAAAATAACCCAGTCTCATTCTAACGAGAAAGAGAGAGAGAGATATATGGTTCAATTTTAAGTTCATTAATTTGCTTTCGCGTAGGGGTCTTTAGCAGTGGAAGGGAACCGGAGGACCCGGAGAAAACCCAAAAGGTTGGACAGGCAACCCTACTCCTTGTCACGTACAAAAGGGGAATCTAACCAGGCCCGTTGACTCAATGACAGACCTTATGATGCACCAAACGCGTTAACCATTCGGCCCCCCCCCCCCAGTTTCATTTCAAACTGATACAGCATGCAATGAATGCACAATATTAGTTTAATGATTATTCTTGCTTCTGGTCAAAATTTAGACTGACATAACTTGATATCAAGTTAGGTGAATAGATGTTATAAATAAAATGTGACGAAAGGTTTTATCTCCTGCTGTTCTGCTCTGGCTAGGCTAATGAAGATGGGCATAAGCCATACAGTGTGTTATGAGGGAAATTTTGCCCAGGCAGCAGCACTACAGCCTACTATTATATCGAATTCCAACTGCCAAGGGATCTTTAACGTGCATGCCAATGTATACACAGGACTTTGGGTTGGTTTTTTTTTGTCCCATCCAAACGACTAGACAGCTGTCCTTGTCCGGCCCTCTGTCATAAACCACTGACAAGGGTGAACCACGTCAGAAAATCTGGATGAACTTTCTAGGCCAATGCAGGGATTGAACACGCAATTTCCAGGCTAGCGAGCCAGTGTCTTACCAGCTTAGCCATTGTAGCTCCCTAATAGATGTTGTGGTATGATACTATGAACACTTGATCACATGACTATTCTAGTTGCCGTGATAAAATGCTCCAATATTTTCTTGATTTAAAAGTTTTGATAAAACTATGTATTCATAACCAAATTGTAAATATTCAAAAATGTAAGATGGGCGTCCTCGGTAGAGATAAGGGGGCATAATTTATAGGCGACACCATAGACCAGACGGTCCCATGTGACCTCATTGTTTACCGTACAGCATTGTTTTCCTGGCTGTACATTCATTACAAACTAGTGTGTTGACAAATGTTAGTTTTTGTTGTTAATATGGAATTTAATCCCGATACGTAGAAATATGGTTCTCTTGCCAACGATAAGGTCACGTGGAACCAAGTTTTTACTAGCGCCGCCTGGTGGGAATTCCTTCAGCATGACACCCATTGCTACATGACATTACAATCAATTTATCAGAGCAGCAGATTGAACCAAGGAATAAAGTATGGAGGCTGAGCAGTGTAATTATTTAATGTATAATAAATGGTTAAAAGATATGATTATTTACAACATGTCTTAAGATATGACGACCACAAAAAACAATAGTATAATAAGATCAGAGGATTAATATGTTAATCCCTTGATCAAAAACCTATACTAAACATAATCATATCATACTGATCTACAAGTTGGGATCGACAAACTTAAACATCTCTTCACATTCCACATGTAACTATAGAAGAAATAAATTGTGTTTGATTTGTAAAGTAAAAGTAGCATTAATAACGTACTGATTTCAGTGTATAATTATCATACAAGTTGGAATCGACACACTTAAAATCTCTTCACATTCCACATGTAACTATAGAAGAAATAAATTGTGTTTGATTTGTAAAGTAAAAGTAGCATTAATAATGTACTGATTTCAATGTGTAGACAAGTATGATATAAGTATGTTTATATATAGTAACTAGACATAAGACAATGACGTTATCTACATACACTACATGACTAACGATAATTATCCAATAACACATTGTCTAACTTGATATCATCATCTTCACATCACACAAATATTATATTGATGATAAACTAAAATAACTGTTGTCCCTGGATAAGTTATTTGATTAGGGACACTATAGAATATTGGCTGTCAATCAAACGATCATTCATAATGACTAATCCCGAAGGTCAAATATGCCCTGAAAAAAATTCAAGTGCCCTATTTTCAAAAATTTAGGGAAACAGAATATTTAGTAAAAACCTTATATCCCGTTTTCTAATTATGTTTTGATGGATAAAGAGGCCCTAGCCCCACAAAATATCCTGGATCTATGCTTGCTTCCTTTATAGTTGTAATTATCAACATCATGAAAATAGTAAAGGAATACATCCACTCTCATTTTCGAGAGCCAGAATCAATCAGTTTTCAGACTATATCTCCAAGTCATATTGAAAACAGTTTACGATATAACATCCTACGGACACTAAAAACGCTGTTGCGAATAATACAAACATTCTGTCTTCTAAGTAAGCAGATTCTACCTAACATAGGCACAGCTATTCTTTCTATACTTGTATTTCAACAGCAATTCAATGGCTTAATTGGATGTCAAACTTCAGGAACGAACAACAAATGGTTTTGCTTTTAGTCAAATTTTGTTCAATGGTTTTGCTTGGTGGAAGTTGACGTAAAATTCCAGGAACGAACGAACGAATGGTTTTGCTTTTTGGTCAAATTTTCTTCCATGTGCTCTAATATCAAAGCCTAACAATTTAGTCCTCTACCAAATTCTAACCAAGACCTAGTTTATACATTTTTTAACCCATGCATACAACTAGACACAAGATGAGCATATTTCAGTTATTCATCAAGAAATATTTGAGATGAAATCAAGTTAAGATCATAATAATTAAAAAAAAAGAAGAAAAAACACAACAAAGATAGTCATTTGAGCACTATATTAATTTTCCAATGATGTATACATGAACTTTAAAATACATACATAGTCTTTTGTTTTCTTTACAAGACAGCTTAATTAATTATTGTCCAAATTTATTGCCATTCTTAATAACAACTATTCTAATATCTGATGATGTTTATGAAATGCTGATTTTTGAGAAATAGGAAAAGAAAAAAAGTATTTAAAGACTAGGGAATGAAAGTTACAAAAAGAATTATGAGATTTCTGTTTGAACTGAAATAAACGGCTGATATTTCTATGGAATACAATTACTGCTTATTACTGAGCGATGTTTTGATTAGGCTTGTCCAATCTGCTCGATAATGACTGAAGAAGCCTAGTCGAAACATCGCTCAGTTTTAATAAGCAGTAATTGTATCCCATAGAATTGTGACCTGTTTATTTCAGTTCAATTACTAAATGCCATTGAAACAATTGAACTGAAGAAATAAGCGTGGCTTTATATAATTTTTTTTCTTTTTTTCTGTAGATGTTAAGTACGTTAAATCTTTTTCACGAAAAATTTCATTTTTTTAAAAATTGAAATCGTTTTTTCATAATTTAATTTATAACTAATCTCAAATATACTATTTACAAGATATTATATATATATAAAGAGGGCAAATTTCTAAATATTTCTTTGGCTAATAATGAAGTACTGATCGTACAATTTTTGTAAAAAATGAATTTTTTTTAATTAAAAAAAGTAATGCTGTCAATCACCATATATAAAATAAGGTATAAATTGCGTAGGTTTTTTTTTGTCCTACGAATCGCAAATAACTAAAAAAAAAAGTTTATCTGCGAAATAAACAATAACAAAAATATCCTGAAAACACAACAAACTTGCAACATATCGACGTAAAATAATAAACATATATATCCCATCATGCACTTAATAGCTAAATAATTATTAAATTTTTGGTACGATTCCCTGATAATCAGGACTACATGTTTGAGCCTTGGTTTACATTACATCTATATGTATAATAACACAAATTCTCGTTTTAAATTTTAAAATGCATTTTCTAAATCAGTTTAATTTAAATTATGTTTTATTATGCAATGATCATTCATAAATTATAATTATTAATACACAGCACCTACCAGATACAATGTTTAAAAAAAAATATGAGTCATTCATCTGTGTCAACAAGATGATCGAAAAAAGCTTTCCTCAACGAAACACTAAACCCGAGCACAGTTGCCCAATTCTCTCTACATGATTGGTTGAAGTGTTCACTGCTTTACAATATTCCATCCAATCAGGTGGATTCTATGAGTAAATTAGCCAATCATGATAGAGAGAATAAACAGAATAATTTATAATGCCCAGTAATATTGTTCCCTGATAATATCACTTTTAGTATTTTGCCCAAAACACTGGATCTCGTATGTGCCGTGCCGAATAGTTTGTATTCGAACTAGATATTACTATATTTTGGATATATTATAGAAATAGTAAAATAAGAATTTCGATAAAACTGAAATTAGTTGTGTTTTAAACAAACGGTATATTATATATGTGTAATTTTACAAAACTACTTGATAACCTGGAATCATGAAATTACTTGATAACCTGGAATCATGAAATTACTTGATAACCTGGAATCATGAAATTACTTGATAACCTGGAATCATGAAATTTCTTGATAACCTAGATAACGTGGAATCATGATTACTTGATAATCTGGAATCATGAAATTAATCTTTTGTCCCACTGAAGGACATAGATAATATATTGCCTATAAGACTTTGTACGAAGTCATCAGTTGAGCTTATAACATCCAGGCTCTTATTACAACTAAAAGTTCATCCAATTTGTAGCAGCACTTGCAATAGATTCTGTTTGAGGTCCATACCAAAACTATCTTCTCATTCACAACTATTAAATGTCATTCTGCTTCAAGAGAATTCAAAAAACAGCACACAACATTTTCTTGGTTTTTATTGTCACTGAGCAGCGTCGCGTTTGTTGCCACAACGTTGTATTTTATACGGAGTTAGATTTACGATTAACGAACGAAGTTTAATATAATGTGGTTAAACACAGCACTTGATACAATATATTGCACGCCAGCTACATGACTTGGCATCTTTGGTTTTTGTTGAAACACAGTTATCTCCCCTTATCAACGGCTACTTTCACTTTTACTGCTGTGGGCGAGAAAAATGATGAATACGTATGAGCAATGATGAATAATTAATATGCAATAATGAATATGTATGAATCAAGCAATGAATTAATTAGCTTTTAATAAACATATGGTTAGTATAAAATAAAAGTACCATATTTTTCTTGGCATTATTTAAAAAAAATAAAATAAAAATTGAAATAAAAATATCCGTTACCTTTTCTAGTCAAATTACCTATTAACTTTTGCACGACACTCAGGACATGTTAATTTCCCCTTCCCCAACAACTAATTTTTGATTCAAAAATCAATGTTATCTCTTTCCCCGATTTTTGATCGATATTGACGAGGAAAGAACAATTTGACTAGAAATGATAACAACCACACCATAATAAATCGTAAAATATTGTTACTCTTCACCGACTCCATGCCTTATATATCTACGAACAAAAACAAACACTGTGAAGACACGTTCAACAGTCAGACTACAACCTATTGCCAGAAAAACATAACTTAACAAACAGTTCGGATGATTATCATTATGTTTTAAATATCATTTTAAACAAAGTCAAAAAATTTCTTGAAACTTCCCTCAGAAAACCATTAAACTTAATGGCAAATAAATTTAACGCAATAATTTCGAACAAGATCATCTCAAAGTAAGGACTGCTCTAAGACATCAATCAAATACGGGAACTATTACAGTGACAAAGTTGAGTACAGTACAAAAAATGCATGCCAGAGCAAAGTGCCAGACAGATTCTCCTTGAACTCTTGATAAGATAAATTTTTTTAAAATTTGTAGGCTCTACACAGGATGGAATCTACTACAGCTCGAAAATACTTAGCACGCAACCATACTAAAACTTCAATGTAAATGAAATGAAATGGGGTTCAACGTCCTACTGTTCTGCTCCGACTGAGCTAATGAAGATGGGCATATGAGTGAAATTTTGCGTGCATGCCAATGTATACACAGGACCTCGGTTTTTCATCCCATACCAATGACTAGGCAGCTGTCCTTGTCAGGCCATCTGCCCTGAACCACAGACAAGGGGAAAGCCCCCCGTTGGAAAATTCCAATGAACTTTCTCGGCCAATGCTGGGATCGTACACCCGACCTCCAGACTAGCAAGCCAGCGTCTTACCCACTTAGCCACCGTGGCTCCTCTCAATTTAAATGACATTTCAGGCTAGGATGATGAACTTGGAAACCATCCTATCCATTAACACAGTTAGTAATAATGATAATGTAACTTAATAATGATAATGTAACTTAATAATGATAATGTAACTTAATAATGATATCCTTAAGTATATATTAAGTATATATTTTTTCTGGCAACACACTAAATGTGACAAAGACAAACTATTTTAAACTACCTGTAACCCGTCCAATCTTTTAAATTTGATTGACATCAGACAAACATAAAAAGCTTTTATTACACACAACAGAACATACAACTACACAACACATCAACATCTAGTTATCTATATCAGTCATTTTATCAATTTCTACACATCAATCAATTCTTAAAATCATATATTAAATGCATTTCCGCATTTTAAATTTGATCACTGATAGATTTGACTGTTATAAACAACCTAAAGAGAGAATATTTAAAGTAAATTTTTGTGGACAAACCAAAGCTTTGATCTTTTGAGTATTTTACACCTAATGAAACTATCAAGAACTTTTTTAAAATAAGTTTCAAAAATATTTGGTTTATTAACAAAAATACCTCAAGTAATCTATATAAGAGAGAGATAAGAAAACCATGTGACCAGTCACATGATTCGGTTGTCACTGTCACATGACTAAATATGTACCTGTTGTAAATGAGGGTCGAACATGCCAGCTGAACTTGCTACGCTATCGGGCGTATAGCCCCCACTCTGTGATATAACATGCCGTAATGCGTTAACCTAAGTTAAAACAAAAAGTAGGGATTGCAAGCAAACAAACATGCAAAATGCAAATAATGGTGTGAACAGGGTAAACGGTATAAAACAAACAGGATTAAATGGAACAACTTGATTGTGATGTTTCCCTGTCTCCCCAGGGTAACAGCAATCACTCTGAGGTTAAAGGGGTGCCAGTTTAACAAGTATTTTTAGGGGAGGATGTGTCATACGTAGCCAATATTGACCTTCAGTATTACGGTAAGTGATTTATCTGTTGAAATTATTGCTAGGCCTCTTTTGCCTGATAGTGATATCCATGAAATATAGTATACTAGGCCTCTACTGTGTAATGTATGCTAGGCCTTTACTGCCTGATATCTATGAAATAGAGTAAATATATGTCTCTTTAAGAGTATAAATTACTAACTTTCACTTTTTATTTTAATCCTGAATGTTTAGCCCTATATGTGTGGACAAGTACAAGTTACTTTTTTTATAGTAATACGACGTTTTGAAATTAATTTTTTTTAATGGTATCATGATTTTTTAGATTATTTCTTTATGGTGATAAAGCAAGAGAATCAACACATCTGAATCAAGTTGGTAAGAATATAGATTGTGTGGTTTGTACAAAGCTAGGATAAATAAACTACACCCTGAAACATTTCACTTGGGGCTGTTCTATACAATATATAATTGGATTCTGTTAGATGAGGGGGGACTACCCAATGGGACAGGAGAATAGATAAGACTGTGCGTCAAGGCTTGTATAATTGGATTCTGTTAGATGAGGGGGACTACCCAATGGCACAAGAGAATATACTGTGTGCATCAAGTCCTATATAACTGGATTCTGTTAGATGAGGGGGACAGCCCAATGGGACAGGAGAATATACTGTGTACTGTATAATTGGATTCTGTTAGTAGAGGGGGACTACCCAATGGGACAGGAGAATATACTGTGTACTGTATAATTGGATTCTGTTAGTAGAGGGGGACAGCCCAATGGGACAGGAGAATATACTGTGTGCATCAAGTCCTATATAACTGGATTCTGTTAGTAGAGGGGGACAACACAATGGAACAGGAGAATAGACTGTGTGCTTCAAGACCTGTATATAATTGGATTCTTTTAGTAGAGGGGAACTACCCAATGTTATTTTTTTTTTATCATTCTGTGTTTATATGATAATTGATCAATGTAGAATTGAAATGTTTAACAGATGTCTGCTATTCATATAAAGTAAAACAGCACAGGACCCTTATAAAAAAAAATATCATAAATTTTACGACTACCCTAATGCTAGATTTATGGAAGGTTAAATAAATAACATATCATGAAATAAGCTTTCTGGTGACAAACATGCAAAGACACACGCCACATAATAATAAGTGTACAATTTAACAATCATGCTAGGGGTCAAAGGTCACACATGGACTTTTTTTTACTACAGAAATAAGGTTTGCTGAAGAACACAATACAACAATATGGCGGCACAAGATTAAAATTATTGAGAAAACTATAAATATGACAGTGTACTCGTATCCGATCTGACATTGGTTATATCTAGGAGCCTTATTCACAAAAACTTTAACGAAATACTAATACTATAATAGCAGCCTATTCATTAGCCAATAAAAGGTCTAAATCCATAAAGTATTTCTGTCTAAATATTTTGTGAATAAGCATTCTTATCTGTGGAATACACAGGAGCCCTGATATACACTAGAGTGAAAACAGGGTCTGAATTAACGATAAACAGTTATACCAAGATGTCAGAATTCAGAGTGCACAGATTGTATTCTTTGTTTATTAGTTTTATCAATAATGTTTACCTTAATTTAATATGATTCGTATTTCTACAAATAAAAGGTGAAATTAACTTTAGTTGATGAACTTCTACCTGGCCATACTTAGTAAACACACAAAATCTGAGCACATCAAAGCTTTAAATAATAACAACTTATCAACTATCATTACTATGTTATTATGAATGATATTTATTCCCCACTCGTCCCTCTATGAATACCATGCACCCATTATACATGTACTACGTGTGTCAACTTGCCGACTCGATACCCTTGTCTATCTTCCTACAGACCATCATTTTTCATGAATCCTCCTGCGTATCACTGAGGCAATATTGAAATGGAATTACCATGCAAAAATTTATAAATTCACTTTCATAGCATGGTAACTATGGCAACCATGGGTTGAAAAGAATAACCTAGCTGTGAAAATGTCTGCTTTCACCCCCCCCCCCCCCCCCCCGGACATAAATCTGTTGTATGTTTGTTTTGCTTTCTCGCAAGGTGAATGTTTGTGTTGTTTTTTTTTTTATGGGAGACAGGTAAAAGTTGTTTCAACTAATTCAAATCTCACCTGCGATTGGATATTGTCACTTACAGAGTTATCTCCTCCTTGGTAATTGTCACCATTTAGATTCATGTACATTCCCGCTTCCATACCACCTTGTGAGGAACCTATACCATATCCTCCCGTACCTACAATATATACAGAAATCATTCATAGTTGTTTATATAAACACACCCTTACAGTATTGTTAGTCTCTATCATACAGAAAAATATTCTACCAATATAAGTCTGGATGCATTGTCAACATTTGAGAATAATAGGTCATTGGCTAGATTATCTGGTCTTTTACATTATCATAAACAAAGTCTAAGGGAGGTAACTAGTCTTAACACAAGAAGTTGGCACCCATGAAATTAATTTAAGAATGCCATTTCAGAAAATCCATTTGATTCCATTGCCAGTTCAATATCCAACACTCTGCATTTTTTTTTATTGTAAAATTTCTCTCTTCATAGCATGGTAACTATGGCAACCATGGGTGTTTGTTTATAATAATGCAAGAATTATTGGATTTATTGTGGGAAGGGGTGCAACTCTAACTTGACTTGGCGAAAAATACTGGATAATCAACCACATAAATATCAAACTCCCGGTTACGCATGGACAATTGAAGTTTTCGTCAAATATTGACAACGGTTCCAGACCCTCCGTACGTTGAAACTAGGAGGTTCTGGGTGACTGAGACTACAGTATTGTAAGAGACAAATGTAGAAATTTAAATGGAAAAATAAAATTTGGTTTTGTATGCACATATATCTATATATATCTGTGTCAATTCACATCTAGATTGGGAAAGGGGGGTGGATTGGGGAGGGGACAATTGGTCCAAGTTCCCCTCAACCCCCTTTCCCTAATCCTGCTTATGTTGAAAAATGAAAAGATAAAATAAGTATATTTTGTCTTCAATTTAACCAATCTAAATAATTTTATACTGTATTTGACTGTAAGAAATCTTTTAGTCTAGAAACATGAAAGCTAAAATTCAAGAAAAGTGTCAATAATTAGTTTTAGAAATGTTCAAAAAGGATGATAAGTGACATGAAAAAAACTGATGTGATTGCTAATTATAAATGACTAATTAAAACTTGATAACGGAAAAATCAGTTTCTTGTCAAATACAGTAGTTTATATGAATTATGATTTTTCAGATTTTTTTTTTATAAAATTATATTGTAAAATATGTTAGGATAAACCTACTCTGTGGGGTTGAGGGATCTTGGTGTGGTGTGGGGGGACCCGACGCCGCTCGGGCAGCTTTTGCCGCGTACATGTTGGCCTCCTCTTGTGCCTTACCGATATTTTTCTTATAACGGATTCTCTTGTTACCAAACCAATTAGATATCTGGAAAATAGAAAAAAAAAACATTGTTATCAATGTAGCTTAAAATAACATAAACCTTTGAGCAGTTTTAAAAAGCTTGACCTAGTTTAAGAAACATTTATAAATTCACTTTCAAAGCATGATAACTATGGCAACCATGGGTTGAAAAGCATGGTAACTATAGCAACCATGGGTTAAAAAGTGTGGTAACTATAGCAACCATGGGTTGAAAAGAACAATCTAGCTGTGAAAATGTCTGCTTTCCACAGGTCTAAATCTGTTGTATTTTTGTTTTAAAAGAAAACAATGCTTTGTGAGTGTTGTTGGTTTATTAATACTTGCTTATATTAATATTTGCCTATATTTGTGGTTAGTATCTTAGATGTAATGTAATAAACTGTGTCACTCTTTTTAAATTTTAAAGCAGGACGTTATCATTTGAGTGATATGGAATCCCTTGCAAACTACATCATTGTAAAAGTTGAATCTCTAAAAGGAATACCAGTCCAAAAATGGTTCAATTCTATTAATTATTTACAAAGACATGATCAAATTCATTTCCACTGATCTTTACTTAAAGGACAATATTGGTGTCAGTCAGCACTACCATATGGTTCAGATTATTTCAATAATAAGCTTGCGTAGGGGTTTTTAGCAGTGGGAGGAAACCTGAAGGACCAGGAATAAACCCACGAGGCTGAACAGGCGACCCTACTCCTTGTCACATACAACCGGGGAATCGAAAACCACGCCAGTTGACTCAGTGATAGAACTTATTAATTATACAACATGCTCTAACCACATTCTAACCATCTAACCCTCCACATTAATGTATATACACTATAATAATATTTGTAGCTAGTATCTAATAAGAAATGTAATAAATTGTGACACTGGACCTTTATAATTTTATAATATACCAATAGTATTAATACACTTTACACATTTAAACAAATTTTAATATAGTTAAAAGTTTGAAATAAATAAATAATAAGACTAGAAATATACATGGTACATTATATAGTGTTAGGATTGGTAACATGATATATAAAATAAAGTAATGGCTTCACTCTTGTTGTTCTCATCCATCAAACATGTCTAAACTACCAGTAGTCTGTGTTTGCCTTCAGGCATGAATACACACATATTCACAGAAAATACACTCAACTTAAAATATTATATATCTCACATAATCTTTAACCTTCCTTTTATTTTACAACTTTCATCAAACTCTTAAAGATGCAATTAGTCGCTAAGTCATTAATCAAATTTTAATCATACTAATTGTTGAATTTACATATTAATGTATAAATTCTAACAGGAGTGCTTTTAACATTCTTCAATAATGGCCATTTTTTATCTCTCTTTAATTGTTGAATTTACAATTTAATGTAGAAATTCTTACAGTTTAAACTGAAGTGCTTGCAACATTCTTCAATAATGGCTAGTATTTATCTCTCTATAATTGTTGAATTTACATATTAATGTAGAAATATCTGGTGCTTGTACTATTTTTGAATAATTCCCATTATTTATCTCTTGATAAATTCACATAAGTTACTGTAACCAAATGCTATTTTGTAGACTATCAACTTAAAGATAGATTATGTAAGATTTAGATAAAGAGCTGATCATTCTTGCTATAATAGCTCAAAAATAGATACGGTAATGTACAATGAAAATATTGAAAATTTCATTCAAATTACTTCATTCTGAGCCAAGTTATCACGGTTTGTAGATTTGACAAGATGTGTGCATTGTGGTAACCAGGGCACTGGTATATTTGAGACTTTCCCATTTTTAAATTAAATTTTTAAATGGCGAACCGTTCTAATCTAATTAAAATCTCGAGTATCCGATGCCATCGTGAGTCGATTATAGTCTGGATAAGTTAATTAATGTCTAATTAATAATTTAGATAACATTTAAGGCCTTAGAAAAAGATCCCATTTGCTGCTCGACTTCCATTCATAATTTAATCATGAAATGGATGATCAAGACTAGGCCAAAATTTCAATCGCTTAATTCTCGGTTCATAGTGGATCAATTTTACTGAAATTTTCTAATTGCCTTTACATTATCTCTTCTTTAACTATTATAGTGAGAACTGCCAGTTCTTTATCTTATATCCCATCATGTATCTTTAAATTATTTAGGTGTCAATTCAAATCCTTTTTTTTAAAGATTCTCATTGTTGTGTAAAAAGAAAATAAAAACCATTAAATTATTAACTAAAAGACTCTTTAAAAGGACCTTAGTCAAATCTGGAATGCTATGATGTAAGATTAAGGTTGCATTAGTAAGGTTTGAAATATTTATTTCAGCCAGAGTTAAATTTCCACCTGTCAATCAATGTCAAGACTTGATGAATTATTGAAGATGTAAGAAAATTAAAGTCTTAAAATAGCACCTGCCTTTGTCTGAGTACCGTAGTAGTCGTACAGAAAACTACAGTCAATGTTAAAGATGAGATCATCGATGTCAAAGTTTGTTGAACTCAACCAAATTATTCATAAGGTTCCGCCAGCCAGTAATTTTGCGACAAAATTAAAACTGCTTATAGAATAAGAAAGCTGACTTCCTGGTTACAAGATTTCAAGAGATTCCCAATCGTTTGTAAACTACAATATTGTGGAAGTTGTATCTCTCAAAGGAATATCACTTAAAAATGGGTTTAGTTCAATATTTACAAAAAAACTACAATATTGTGGAAGTTGTATCTCTCAAAGGAATATCACTCAAAAATGGGTTTAGTTCAATATTTACAAAAAAAATGGATCATTTTGTCATCCTCTACAGAGGACGCCAATGTGTACATGGGACCGTGGTTTTTCGTCCTACCCGAGCAACTAGACAGCTGGGTTTAAGGTCCATTGACACAAACTAGGTCATTTCGGAACTAACATATGGTTCAATTTTATTTCAATAATTCGTATGCGCGTACGGGTCTTTAGCAGTGGGAGGAAACCTGGAGAACCTGGAAAAAACCCACGACGTTGGACAGACAAACAACCAGGAAATCGAAACTATGCCAGTTGACTCAATGACAGACCTTATGATACAACGCGCATGCTCTAACCATTCGACCATCCAATAGGCCTATTGTACACGGAAAACATAAATTTATAGAAAATTGGCAATCCTTGGCTGAGAACTGACATGTAAATACTGAAAATATATTGTGCAATACGCTGTGCAAATAGACTAAAGTCTTAGTAAATCATCTCAAAACTGGGCTAATGTATTATATAAAGACAGATGTTTTTAAGTTGTTGTATGTAATTATATCAGCAATTATTTTTAATAGGCCCAACTGAGAAATAAAATTGTTGCAAGTTGTCTTTTAATCACATTTTTGACAAATAAAATATTCCAGTTGGCAGAAAAAAAAATCTGGACATTTTGGGAGGTAAAAATTATCATCCATTTTAGAGGAAAGAAATTGAATGCCAGTGTGAGCCCTGTAAACCATGTATTAGAATTTTAGAAAGACTTTGTTTTGTGTAATTGTAATGTTTTAAGACATGTATATATTTTATTTCTCTCATCTTTCTTTGTATTATCAACAGAATTTTAAACCAAAATTCAGTAGGCCAAATGATCAATTTTATCTAAAATAAAGAATGTTTTGCTCTCTTTCAGTCATTAATTTTGGCCGAGTCACTAAGGAAGTTCGTTTTTTATCTTTGAACTCTACTTGGTGTAGGTGTTCATCAGGTAATACCTCGACTGAGTTCAATATAGAGATTAGCCGGTTGATTTGTTGGATATAAACCTTTGAATAATAGCGCCTAACAGGCAGCTGTGTTTTATTATGTTCTCCTGATTTTGATTGTTTTTGTGTGTTTGAAGTATATGTTTGTGATATGCGCTTAGAAACACTTCACGTGTAATGAAGCGCTATATAAATCGAACAATAATAATAATAATAATATCCAGAGCCTTTTGTAGAGAAGAGTCTGGCCAACTATTGACTCGATTGCGATCGGGTAACAAAATAGCTTTCTTGTCATATCTTAGTGCCATGATTTACAGTTCCTGCTCCTGACCAACTACACATGTATGGTATGCAGAACTATCAATTAAACATGCATTATGCAAGAGCAAAATCTGCTTATTACAAGTCTTTCTTTAGGCCTGAAATGTTATCTAAATTATCAATTAGACATTAATTAACTTATCCAAACCATAATAAACTCTCGATGTCAAGGCTAGCCTTCGATGCTGGTTGGATTAGATTCCTATATGCCGCTAACGGCCGCCGATAATTAAATCAATAAAAGCAGATAATCGAGACTAAGCTGTTTATATTAATGATTTTAGTAATGATGACCGAGACTATGCCAAAATTTCACACGCTTCTTTCTCGGCTCATAGTGGATCAATTTGACTGAAATTTTCAGCAAATTACCTTTACACTATCTAGTTTTTAACTATTATAGCGAGAACTGCCATCTCGTTATCTTATCTCCCATAATGTATCTTTAATATTTGTTTTTCTTCTAATTTTGATCAATTAAACTTATAGTTTGAGTAACAAAATAACTTATAGTTTGAGTAACAAAATATCAACCATAACCGTCATTGTTCAGACTCTTCATACAGTGTACATAGCTCTGGGGTTATGTATTTATATAGTAGGCTAAGTGCAGGGGGTCTACACCACACACAAACAAATATACAAGACAAACCTACGGACACGACACAATATACAGACATCACAAACAACAATCCATTGGACCCCATTGGAAATAAGCAACGGATGTTATATACGTCAGGCTTTATGGGCTATCCTAAGTAAAGGTCTCTTCATGACACCATACCTATCAATCATATTTCTCTATGCTTGTCTCATTTCGCATCCCAATTATACAATGTAGCACATAGTTCTTATTTTCATATACATATCTGTATTTATTGTTGTCACTTAATTTATTGTCATGTTGTAACCTTTACTTGAAGAATAAATAAATAAATAAATAAATCGAACACATCAGATCAAGTGAATGTATCCAGGCCATTCCAGGGGCTAGCCGTAAACATCCTTTGGGCTGTATAATCTAGGGTCTGTAGAGATACAGGCTTAAACTATTCTATTACTACAGCAAGAGATAAAATAAATTATAATTTTACCTGTGACACTGTTATAGAACATTTTCTGGCTAATTCTTCTTTGGCCTCTTCACTAGGATATGGATTACTTAGGTGTGAATAGAAATATTCATTTAATACTTCCGTAGCTTGCTTACTGAAATTACGACGCTTCCGTCTGTTGATAAAAACAAAACATGAAAAATAAGTTAGAGAGAGAGAGAGAGCGAGAGAGGGAGAAATGGGGTTTAACATCCACTCGACACAAACTTGGTCATTTCGGGAATAACATATGGATGAATTTTATTTCAATAATTCTCTTTAGCGTAGTGGAAGGAAACAGGAGGACCCAGAGAAAACTCGCTAGGTTAGACAGGCAATCCTACTCTTTGTCATTTACAACTGGGGAATCGAAACCACGCCAGTTGACTCAATGACAGACCTTATGATACAGCGCGCACATGCTGACCATTCAGCCATCCACCCCCCCCTTGAATTGATGAAACATACAAATTTAAAACATGCATGAAGCTACCTCTATTTGTTCTTTGACTTTCTAGTTCTAATAATACAGATAATCTATGAATAACTGAAATCATTCAATACATTGCAAATCATTCAATAACAATGTGCACATAAAATTTACCTGGCATCTAAAAATCGTGACCGTAGAATCATCACAGCTTCACATGTACTCTGTTTCAACTGCATCTCTATAGCCGAGAATTTTTTACGAATAATTCCAACCATTCTTTCTATTTCTTTGGGTGCGATTGGTCGTGTTCGACTTTGTTCTCGTAATAAGTTAACAACATGGGTAGTAAATTCATTACATGCCTAAATTAAAAAAAAAAAAATTATTTATTACAATTTATTAGCAGTCTGGTCCATCTGAAAAAAACTGCTTAAGAAGAGCCGAATAAAATAGGTTTAAAATTCGTATCTGGGCAACTTTCATCATTTCAAAAAGAATATTTATCCCAAAACTTTAATCCAGTTTACAAGTATACATGGCAGAAAGCTAATATTAGGACATGCCATAGGTGTAGTTTTCAAAGTCATCCAATTCATTTACAACACTTTTAGTATTAGAAGGAAATTTCGGATTTTACCTGTTCATATTTTTCAAGTTCTGTATGATAAATTTGTCGGATTTGTGCTAGTTTAGCTCGGTAATCGGAGTGTTCAATAGCTCCGTCTGGTTGTCCCCCTGATGCTGCGGCTGTGGCGTTAGCGGCTGCCGAAGAACCACCCCCTTTCTCTGGTCCCGCCACTCCCTCTGCTATCAACATATTGTCCAGTCGCATTAACTGTGGATCTGGGGGTTCCTCTTCTTGTGTGTTTCGAATACTTAAAACTGAAAAATTCAAAATTGATATTAATTAAGGAATGGAAAAGAATTGAGATTATTGTTAAATACTCTGTTTTGTCAAACACAATACTTAGTTAGGTATGGTTGGCCGAATGGTTAGCGTGTGCACGTTGTATTATAAGGTCTGTCATTGAGTCAGCTGGTGTGGTTTCAATTCCCTGGTTGTACGTGACAAGGAGTAGGGTCGGCTGTCCCACCTTGTGGATTTTCTCTGGTTCCTCCGGAATGAACCATATATTAGTCCCAAAATGACCTAGTTTGTGTTGAGTGGATGTTAAACCCTATTGCCATGGTCAGTGTTAATGACAGTAGTATTCATATCTGTAGAATACCTTTCTTCAAATTCAAACTGTCTATTTTGGTTTTTTTTTAACATGGGTTTGTATCATTCTAAACAACTTTTATCATTCTTCCATGTGCTACGATCTCTGACAAGTTGGAGTGTATGATGAAATGACAGGGTTTACAATGAAAAGTCATAATTGAATAGCCTCCACCCCAGTAGAATAGATCAGAGTTTTTAAAATGTTTCATCAACACGATATTTCAGCTATTTTTGGTTACGCACATACGTGATACATGTGTCATGGGTTTTTTTCTGTGCACTCGGGGGTATTACATTATACCCCACCATTTGCACGAATAAATATTGAAGAATAAAAGGTACAGAGTGAGGATGAAACTCTTCGAAAAACAATTTCTTCATCCTTCGACTATGATGAAGGATATTATTTTCCTCATGGAATAATATACGCCCCTGTGCACTCTAGGCTCCAGTGTGTACACAAGCTCGACTTTCATTTTTTTTTTTTGTTCCCATCCAGAAATCCCAGGATTATTTTCAAGACATGCTGGGATTCATACCCAGGAAATTTTTGTCACAACTCCAGTTCCCCAACAACTCAGATACTAACACACCAATGTAGAACAGAGTTCAAGAGGCGTGTAGAACAGTAGAGAGAGAAGAGAGAGAGAAATGGGGTTTAACGTCCACTCCTGACCACACAAACTAGGTCATTTTGGGACCAACAAAAAGTTTTTAATTTTATTTCAATAATTCACTTGCGCGTAGGGGTCTTTAGCAGTGGGAGGAAGCTGGAGGAACCGGAGAAAACCCGCGAGGTCGGTGAGTAGAACAGCGGCTTACAATTACTGATTACTAGAATAATTTAAATATATACAGCAAGCACATGTTTATAATGCATGATCAGATGTTAATATTCAATACCCAACACAACTGTCAGAAGAAATGACTAGCCTTTAGATGTATATTACAACTATTATTCACTCATTTCTCTCTCTATTCATCAATTGACACCTGTCAATCATTTCATTAACTTATGCTTCTCTCCTTGTCAGAATTTATGAATAACCTACGCAACTCACAATAATCTTATACACTTTCTGCTTCAATAGACTGACTGATATTGACGTTAAAAAAAATATAACAGACAGAGAAAGAAAAAGAGAATCAGAGCGAGCTAACAAATATTCGTAATGTATTCATAACTCTTGTTAATGATAACCATCTTTTAACTAAAGATTTTCATATAAACCAAAAATCAATAAGAGAAAAAATATTTACATGGTAATGTACATTTAGTTAAACATCGTAAACCAAATATCAATCAATAAAAACTTTGAATTTGATAAGAAAAGTCATTTGCCTATACTAGATGAAATTTAAGCATAAATATTAAATATAATTTTATTTAGGGGTTTTCTTTTGAAGTGTATATTTACATGTACTGAGTGCATATACCCTCCATGGCATATTACAAACACTGTTCCACAAAGGAAAATATTGTATGCACAAATTTCAGGCCATATAACTTAGAAAAAAAATATTCTTGTTCACAGATATCGTTGCATTACATACAGCCCCCCCCCCCCCCCCAAAAAAAAAAATTTGACGACCATGGCTCTAAAATACCTACTGTAGACTGTGCTGGGTGTGCCCCCCCCCTCCTAAAAACCTCACTGCCCCTCCGAAGCTAGCAAGCTGGCTACGGGCCTGATTACATATAAAGGGGTCGTGCGGTCTGTTTTTTTATTTGTTTTTATTAGGCATGTGAGATAAGCTGCACATAAATTACGTTTCTACAAATATCTTGTGCACATACCATTGCACTCACCACTAACATCTACGAACGTACTATGGACAAGGAACCAGTCCTTCACGTTTAAGGTGAGCTTTCGCTCCTGCTCCTCTCGACGCACGTCGGCTTTCCTTCGAAGGAGTCATTAAAGACTCCTGCAAATTAGCTAAATCCTAAATATTGAGATTATTAAACTACTTTCAGTTTTTGTTTACTTTTAAACTGCATATATTCAAGGTATCAGGAGCTTTTTATGGCTCTCGCACAATTTTATAAACATGAAGGACTGGAACCATGCGTGACGCCATCGCAACCATCTTTTAATTGTGAACAAGTCATATCAAAAATCGAAATCTAACAATCAATGCATAATTGTCCAGGGAACTAACATGCCATGTTTGAATCAATGAATGTCTTATCGTACTTCAATTCGCAGCGACTTAAGGTTTGTTCGAAGAAGGTCGGCCCTTCAGGGGTGTATCTAGAAAATTTTGATCCCAAATTAGTAACTCCTAGCTGCTTGAGTGGGGGTCCAGGGGCAGTAAACCCTTGTCGTGTATATTTCATATGGCAGCTTACTTTTACTTACAGTTCTAAGCCTTTGCATAAAATTTCATACATATTGATGTTTTTGTGATTTTCGATAACCCCCTGTCGTGTATATTTTATTAGCTTACTTTTACTTAGAGTAAATTATTGTGTATTATTTGTATGACTCAGCATGAGATATGTGTAAGTCTATTTTAGTTGTAAGTCATTGCACTAAGATATTTAAAGACAGGCACGTAGTCCTATAAATTATAGTTTTAATGATAAAATAACATGTACGCAATGTTTCTGGTCAATATAAATATAATGATAAAACAAGGAACAATCAGCCATGTAATTTCGTGTAAAACTACATACAATATATCATAAACATAGCAAATTAAAATTGAGTTTAATTTCAAAAGTCCTTCCTGCACCAACCTGGCCAAAAAAAATGTCTGGACAGCAATATTTATGTCTACTCTTTCATGTAAAACTACACATACGGAACCGATGTAAAGTTGGGTTTAATTTTAACCACCTTCCCTGCACCAAAGAAACAGGCATACGCCAATGCGTTGTGCTATGAGCGAAAAAATGCCTGGAAAGATCAAAATTTTGTTTCGTTTTTTTTTATACTTTCAATGGCCTACACTACATGAAGATCTGACCAGTTGTACTGGAAGTACACGTCAGGGGTCCTATGAGTGGCTTTTGACCCTATGACATCAGACATTGATTAATTAATCAGCGTTGACGGTTCTAGGGGTTTACCCACAGTTCGGTGCAGAGCACGCCAAGAACTCGCCTTAACAGACCGTTTCATTGGCTAATTCCTCACATCAACTATAACGCCTGTTATACATGAATAACAACTCTTCCAGATCCTAGTGTGGTAAAAACAAGTAAAACGAAATTTTGAACTATAAAAAACGAAACGAAATAGGATATATGTTTTAATCAGCTTGGCCATACTCAAGCTATGTTTAAAATCTCCCCAGACAATACTGTGTAGGCTACATGCTACAATGTAGAAAGTGAGAGTGAGAAAAAAAAAAAAATCAATGTTTTTCAGTTTTGAGTGAAGTGTAGTTATAGAAAGTTGTACAGTTGTGTGAAATAAATCAAATAAATAATAATAAAGTAGAAACAGAAGTTGTATGGGTCTCATCCATCATATGGTGTTTGTCAGTAAAGTTAGAAGTTTTTATTTTATAACTACAATAGTTGTATTGAAACATGAGACTGTCAATATGTTACAATTCTGGTTTACTTCAAACATACCTCATTTATCAGAATTTATATTAATTAATATTAGCTAGATAACATTGAAAAGCTGTTCCCTGCAATACTTTCCAACAATATGTTACAATTCTACAAGTCTATAAAAATAACAGCAGTTACAATTTAATTTATACATGTAACATGACTATATTGAAAATTTCATTCAATTTACTTTATTCTGAGCATAATTATTAGTGTTTGAACATTAACGTACAGTAGATAGTTTGTTGCAAATTTCATTCAAATTACCGATATTTTATAGCCAGATTTCACCAGATTTTTAGCTGCTAATTGTAATTTGAAGGAATTGGAATATCATTCAAACTAAAATATCAGTCAAAAAATAGTTTATACAAAAATATGATTAATTGAAGACTTTGCAACATGCAGTACCAGGTCTTTATTTCGGCTTCAAATCTTGTTCTAGGTTCACACCATCACGATTCGCACTACGATTGAAATCATGGAACATTACAAATGCACAACCAGAACAATAAATATATTCAAGATAAAACTATTTAAAAGCAACAGAAATCAGAAATTTCATGACAAAACCCAGCTGTTTTTTTTCTTAAAATATACCGAGACATAACGTCATATAACTAGAACTAGCATCTGTGTTCTAAGGCTTGACATAAGCAATATATAACTTCACAAGCTTATCAGTTAGAATATTTTAAAAGATAAACATTAAATAATTTACAGGCCTAGTTTATAAATGTGAAATGCAGTATCTATATATTATATTCCAAGTTCTGAAAATCAAAAACTTTAAAATAGGTTGTTGATTCAATTCATCAAGAAATTACTGCTTTTAATATAGAGAGAGAGAGAAATGGGGCTTAACGTCTACTCAACACAAACTAGGTCATTTTGAGACTAGCACACATGGTTCAATTTTATTTCAATAATTCGCTTGCGCGTGGGAGTCTTTAGCAGTGGGAGGAAACCGGAGGACCTGAAGAAAACCCACCAGGTTGGACAGGCAACTCTACTCCTTGCCATGTACAACCGGGGAATCGAAACCACGCCAGTTGACTCAATGACAGACCTTATGATACAGCGCGCACGTGT